AACCTGCCTCTCCCTTTTATCCAATCCATGCTGCCAGCTTTTTGAGTAGTGCCACCCAGAAATATGCTAATTCCAATCAATGGAATAATTTAGTACATACACCCTTAGTCTCGGTACCACATACCCTAAATCCAGCCAGCTCACAAAATCCCCATGTATGAGCACATGAGGCTTTGCGGGGAGATCTAGATATAAGCCATAATACACATCATTTCTCTACTTTGGGCAGATCACCCAAACTGATTTTAAATAGTGTACAATTATCCATTGCATTCAGGTCAAAGTATAAACTATCCTAGAACATTATGTTTCATTACAATTACAAAACTACTATCTATCTTTTGATCTTTGAACCTCCATTTTATACATAAAATACTTGTCTTTGCAAATCTCAGTTTATATTTGCTAACAAGCCACATATTTGTTTTTTCTAAAGTGTTTCTATATTATAGGCAATTTGAGAAGTACAAAAAAGTCTTCCTATTAAAGGTAATTTCCATAATCCTTCAAAAAGTGAATTGAAGAAGATTTACTGTATTTTTTTAAAGATCATGAAAAAGAAAAGGGAAACAACACAAGGTAGAGAATTCATGAATAGGTAATCACTTTCCTCAGACAATAAGCAATGTTCCAATAAGCCCTGAGAAATAACTAATTAATTTTCCGAGTGAGCAAACATTATTTTGTAGTCCTGTAGACCTGGGGAGGAATCTAAAGATAGTGAATAGCAATGTGTTTCTAATTTTCAAAGGAAGATTAAAAGGGCCCTTGGTCCTCATTGTTTAGCTACTTCAAATCCTATCAAAATAACAGAACCTAAATTAGCCCAAGAAATAAATTTTTACTGTCCTAGAAAATAAGAAAGCAAGGAATAGCTTTTGTTTATGAAGAATTGATTAGTCTGAATAAATGTGATGGCTTAATGAAGTTATAAAATGAATATAACCCAAAGCATTCTAGTTTCAGCTCCGTAATAATAATAAAACACTTGATGAAGCCCCATGAATCCTCCCTACTATATTAATTTAAGATGGCTTATATGACAAGTTTGCTTAAAAAAAAATTTAGCTGAAGGAAAAACAGAGACAGGTCACTTAAGGAGACAAAATAAATGAACAAATGTAACAAGAACTGGGGGTGGGACCAACCGAATCCCAATGATTTGGAAGGTATGGGTGTATATTGAGGAATGAATTAAAGTGTTTCAAGCACCCAAATTTTAAGTAAAAAAAATTGCAAGGATGTATATAAATACCACAGAAAATGTGGTGAGGTCTTGAGGGAAAAAAATGTAATGTTGAGATTAAAAAAAAAAAATTGGCAGAAACCTACAGGGAGATAACAGTTTCACAAATCTTGAGAATGGGATAGGAGAGAGGGCGGAAGAAAGGGAGGTCATCAGAAGAATACTCTTTAAGACCTGGTAGGCAGATATGATAGGAGAGGATTGTTGCCAATAAAGGCATCCTCACTGCACAGGAGTGCTGTGAATGGGTGCCCCAGAAATTCTAAGCACAGTCTAGTTTCTAACAAGGCCATCCTTTAAATTATGACCTCAGTTGCACACATCCAATTCAAGAGAATTAACAGAAAAATCAGAGCTTTTCTCTAAGGGGCCAAAGGATATTCAAATGTCTGGTAGTCACCCTTGGGGTTGCTTTGCTCCCTGTCCCATATTAAGTTAGGTCTTACCTGAAGTTCTAAATACAAAGTCTTCCCTCTAGAAGTAGATCTGAACGGGAAAGTCCTATTCTTGCCTCCTATGGTGTGAGATGTTTTAATTACCCACATGTCTATTGATGAACAGTCATGAATCCACGAAACGGCCATATTCTGCTTTCTGTGAGACAAGATCTTTAGAGACAGTGGGAGTCTGATCTTCACCATAACCAAACACTTCCCGTTATTGCTACAGATACAATATTAAGTAAACTGAATGAGCCCCAAGATGTTGATGGTTTCTATGTCTACTACCAAGTCTCAATCTGTTTACATCACATTTTATTTCCCTTGGGTCAATAAAATTAGTAAATATGAGAAAGTTTGAAGGAGGTTTACAAAAAGAACTCAGTCTGTTGGCCACCATGATATTAAAAAGCACGAACTTTCTCTACATTTGCCAACCTATTGATGATGTTCTTTCCTTCATAGTTTGTGCTTTGGCATCTCTTTGAAATTGCACATTTTGGATATACAATCCAATTGTCCCTGTACAAAGGAAGAGATGCAGGCTTTGAGAGGAGCAAGGATTCGGTCAAGTGATGTACATAGCCAGAGATAGCAGAGGCTGCAGCAGAGTTCCTGGCAACTGGCCCCTGGGTCATCACAACATATTGCCACTATTCTCCTTTCTGCTCACCTCCTCTCCAAAATCCCTATGGGTATTTTAAAAAGAAGCTGAGAAATAGCCATCTAAAAGAGCAGTGTGCATGCATGCTGGGATGCATATTTGCATTTCAAATATCAATCTAATGTATGAATATATTTCCTCCACTGGCACACTACTTTGTTGTGTGCTGAAAATTTAGCATTTATATCACAAAAACTCTTTTCATTTGCTATGCTGTTTTGACAATATTATGATAAGCTGTATTCCGTGTAAACTGCTAAGAATGACATTTTAATCAGTCATCCAGGTTTTATTTAGTTTGGACCCAATCTGACATGGCTTTATTTAAAATGTAGATGTATGTCTTAGTCCATTTTCTGTTGCTGTAACAAAACACCTGAGACCAAATGGCTTGTAAAGAACAAATGTTTATTTAATACTCAGCTCTGAATGTTGGGAAAATTAAGAGCATTGCATTGGCATCAGGAGATCTTCTTGCTGCATCATAAAGTGGTAGTGGGGCATCAGATGGTGAGACTCATCAAACTAGCCAGAAAGAGCTCATTTTCAAAATGAAGCCACTCCCATGGTAACTCAACAAACCACGGACGGATGAACTCTTTCCTAAAGAGCAGAACCTTCAGAATCCAGCTCCCAACACCACCACAATGGTGCTTAAAAACTTCACCCTGGGTTTCATGGGAGACAAATCATACTCAAACTATGACACTATATAAGATTCAGCATGTGCTCATATTTCATCTCTGGAATTTATTTAGGAAATGAAGTATTGCCCTGTGGTTTCAGAAAAAATTAATAAATATCTCTAAATAGATGGTAATTTCATGTTCATTTTCAGAGAGATTTAGCTACATTAGCAGTGCTATTTCCCGACACTCATAATCTTCTAAATTGACTTATTTGATGTTCTTCAGATCTATTTTTCTAAAGATTCTGATTTTATCTCTGTTGCTGTTTTTAAAGTGCACTCCATGCTTGTGAATCTATCCAATGTAATTTTCACATTTGATCCCATTCTTCTCAAATGACAATACAGGGCAGGAAGAGCCATGTGGCCGGCGTTGCTGCATATCAGTCTGGTGCCTTGATTCAAAATACAGACGCAATGCAAGCAAAGGAGAGGGCAGAGGGCTGAAGGACCCCGAGTAAGACAATCTTGGGTATGGACAGACACACGAACAGAGGGGCAAGGCAGTAGATGAAATTAGGGATAAAATAAACCTTCACAGGACTGAGCTCCTATGCAGTAACATACTGCAGCACCAAAGTTAGTCTGTTCACCTTTATTAGTAATTCTCCAAAAACCTCATTTCCCTTTCATCTTTAGCCCACTTCCTAATACCTGCCTGGTTTAGTTATTGTTGTGGTTTTGTTTCGTTGGGATTTTTTTTAGAAGTTTAAGTAATAATAATAATGACATACAGGTTTCTTACAGTTTAAGCAAAACCTTCAGCAATGCCCATATTTTTTTTATTTGGCAATGCTTGAAAGCACTCTGGGGGACCCAACTGTACCAACATCCAGATCTCTGAAGCCAGTGTGGCCCACGGCTTTAATAATGTTCTCTCTCTTCTACCGAGGGTGTTTTTCTTGTGTAGATTGTGTCTTCTTGTTAAAATGAAATGTGAAAAACCACACACATACACACACACACACATAAAACCTCTTACCTCTTGTTCAAATAAGGCAGGATTTTGAACTTTGGTACTACCTGATGAACAAAATCAGTGTAAACACGGTAGCTAGACAATATTTAAGTTTCTTCGAAATAGTTGCCCCCATTTCTCTAGAGGCAGAGCGTGGCTAGCTCTCCTACTTGGGCAAAAGAAGTCAGTGATCAGCAGCGCGTAGAGTCAAGCAGTAGCGCTGCTTTCCGAACCGACTTAGTTGACACCCTGCCTTTTGGCCTGGACGCGCCTCCAGTTAAGGACGCTCGGGAGTCTTGACCCCACGCCGGCACAGAGGGCCCCCCTCTTTCACACTGGCGTCCTAGCTGTCCCCGCGCAGACCCAAGTTCCCAAGTCTCGAACTACGCCGCTGCGTGCGTCCCGAAGGTGGAGTCTAGGGGTGCAGCCCGGTCTCCCGGAGGCTCCTCGGATGATCCTGGCGCTGATGGGGACGAAGCTGGTCCCCAGCTGGCTTTCCATCTGTTTAGTTCCTGACCTGCATGCAGCTTTAAAAAAATCGTTCCTGTCCCCTCACCCCCGTGAGTCAACCCCAGTGGTTGTTCTCCCAAGCCTCCCGGGGCAGAAGGGGACCAAAGTAACCCTCCGCGGGGTTCAGTGAAGTGGCAGGAGGAGGGTTAATATTGCTTTGTTATTGCCATAAATGAGGAAGAGACGAGAGACACACACACACACACAGAGAGAGAGAGAGAGGTGTTCTGCAGCCAGGAGGAGCAATGGGGAGAGGCCGGTGCCCCGGCTCCCGGGGGGCCTCCGAGAGCTGCACCCGCCGTAATTCCCTTTCCCGAGCCCGCAGATTCCCACAAACAATGACATCACCAGGCGCCGGCCGCGGG